AGGTGTGCAGACGTGACCCCTTATAAGAAAGAGGGGTTGGCTATTCTCTTGGGCAGTAGTTCGAACTCCAGAAGGGCAGAGACTGCATCTTCAGGAACATGAAGACCTGGGAGGTTATTTATTATTAATTGAGTAAATGCTTCCCTAATAAATACCTGCTTATCATTTATCTTGGGTCTTGTGAACTCATTTAAACCCCACCTTCTATTGGCGCCCCTCGTGGCTTGATTCCCACTATCAGCCCATGTGCTGGCCGGCAGTGACATCCACGACCCCAAGTCAACCCCTTCTCTTTCTTATAAGGGGTCACATCTGCACACCTAAAACCATGCCCTTAGAATGCGGCCATCACCGAAAGTCTACTGGCCAAGCAAGATGCCACTACATTTATATATACTATAAATAATAAAGATGTTAATGCTCTCTGTTTCCCCCTTGAATGACTTTAAAACAAGTGTTGCATATCAGACCCACAGACTTACTTCTCTGAAGTTGACTGGCCAAGAGGTCTCTTTTGAAAAGGAAGTGTAAGTCCTCAGTTGGTTTATCATTCCAGTAGAGCACTCATGTGTCTCACCTGGAATGCTTTTTGAAAAGCATGGTTTTGTCTTCCTGGAATTTGAGAGCCATTCTAGTCAGGACTTAGTAAGACCCGATAACGCTCCTTTAAGTAAGCAGGAGCCAAACCCGTGGGCTGCTCTCTTTTACAGCCATGAGTGCCAGGCGCCCAGCTAAACTGGGTTTTGATATAAATTCTGGTCAGGGTCTGGTGAAATTTTGTTTTATGTATTATTAATGATGGGGCTAAGCATTAACCCTTTTCTTTTTACTGTTAAGGTCGGCCAAAGGCAAGGTAGGATTACTCGTAGGGAGTTAGGAGCCCCTGGTTCCTTTAACTTCTTTTTTTTATACTGGTTATGTCACCTATGGATGGAACACAGTGTGCACTTTAATTGGTGGGCTCTACTAGGGCAGTTAGGTGGGTTTCAACATCACCTTCCCAAGAGCAATTGAAGTTGGGGCTTGCGGTTAGCAACAGCCTGGCATTTAGGCAGTGTTGATCTCCTGCCTCTAATCAGAAACAGCCCAGCAGGAACATTCACCCTCAAGTGGCATCCATGGAAGACATATTTCATCACCTAGTGAATAACCCTTACACACCCTAACACGCAACCTTCCAGCCTCTTCTGTGGCTTGGGAAACACTGGGTAGGAGAAGCTATTGCTGAGCATTTTGACATGTACTTGAAGGTCTGGATGGGTCTCAATGCCTCCCAAGCAGTGATGACACATAGATGATGTCATTGGCAGAGCCCCCATCAGGCATTGCAAATGGTGTCTTCTCCAGTCTGCCTCCATTTTTGTTTTTCTCCCCGACAGTCTAATGAGTCTGTTTCTCCAGGTGCTTGGCTTTGCTCTCATACTTCTGTACACCTTCAACGTGGCCATGCCTCTGTGGAGGATCCACCAGGGGGTGCCCCAGGCCCCAGAGCTCCTCATTCACCCTACTGTGTGGCTCACCACCATGGTAATCATGGCCTATGCCCAGCTCACTCCCAACTGCTGCTTTCCTGTGAGGGGAAGTGTGGGGAAGGTGGGGACCTTGGGAACTTCCCCTTCTGCCCTCCACCCTCTCTTGTCTAGAGTTTTGCCACCTTCCTGATTCACATGGAGAGAAAGAAGGGAGTCCGGACATCTGGAGTGTTATTTGGATACTGGCTGCTCTGTTGTCTCTTGCCAGCTATTAACGTGGCTCACCAGGCCTCTGCAGGGGTGAGTGGGTCACTGGGGAAACCAATATGGTGGTGTCAGACATCTTTTCTGTCCCTTTTCCACACATGATACCCTCCCCCACAAATCCCTCCCATCCAATCTATTTCATTTTGAACTGATACAGGGTTATGACACCCATTTGTAGGCTGCAGTGTGCCGGTGCATATGTGGCCCTGTATGAGGACATGCTATGTGCATGTGTGTGCAGAGACCAAGCGAGGGCATGCTGGGTCTTGGTCTACCACTTTCTGCCTTATTCTCTCTTTATTGTTGTTGTTTTGTTTTTGAGATTGGTCTCACACTGTAGTCCAGGCTGGCCTCAAACTCATGATCCTCCTCCTGCATTCGGGAAGTTTGGGTGTGAATCATCACACCAGGCTGGTGCTCGGGTGATCAGAGCAGGCTGGATATAATGAGATTGTGGAGAACCCAGTGCCAAATAGATGCTAATAAAATCAACTAAGACAGGTTAGGGCTTTTCTTAGCCACCATTATATTGTTGTAAAGAGACCAAGGCAACTCTTATATAAAAGAACACATTTAATTGAGGGCTGGCTTACAGTTTTATAGGTTAGTCCGTTATCATCGTGGTGGGGAGCATGGCAAAGTCAGTCAGACATAGTGCTACAGAAATTACTGTGAGCTCATCCTGATCAATATGCAGAGAGAGACTCTGGTCTTACCATGGGCTTGTTAAACCTCAATGCCCACCCCAGTGACACACTTTCTCCAATAAGGCCACACCTTCTAATCCTAATCCTTTCAAATAGTGTCCCTCCCTGGTGACCAAGCATTCAAATATATGAGCCCATGGAGGCCATTCTTGTTCAACCATCACAGGACAGAAAGGAGAAAGGAAGAAACCCAGGGTCCCACCTATTATTGTCCCAGGGACTGTAACTCACTTACACAGTATGGTATGTTGGCAGTCACATGTTTGTGATCCAGGATAACTATGAATGCTTTCATGCACCAGGGCTTGGTTCCTATCTAGAAATTGTCCCAGGCCTCAGGTCCCATTTCCAGTCTCAGCCTAGACCTCTGGAATCCCTTCTGTGCCACTCCTGGGCTCAGTGGGGCTTCTTTGTCCCCACAGAGCTTCCACCATGAGCCCCTCCACCACCTGGCCACCTACTTGTGCTTGTTCCTGGTGGTGGCAGAATTCGTGCTGTCCTGTCTGGTGGACCGGCCACCCTTCTTCTCGGAAGACTCCCAGCCATCAGTAAGCCAGTCGCCACATACTGAACTCGGCACCTCCTTTCTCTTTGGGCCCCTTCTGATACCAACAATCCCCTGTGGCCAAAGGGGGTTGGTCTAGAGCACAAGTTGTGTTTTCCTGTTGTTATTCATTTGGTCATTTAACAAAACATGAACTGCATGGCCCATCGTGGAGGCACCTGTGGCTTTAGCCCTGGGAAGGCAGGAAGATTGCAGAGTCACAGGCTACATCTTTCTTATGAATGATGGGTTAGTTACTGTCTTCTCACTGTGACAAATAT